ATGCGCCTTTTTGCAAAATCCTCGGGGCCCGGGCTCTAGGGGGACCCGGCAGCTTTAAAAAATGATATTAAAATATATGGGCGAGGGCCCTTGCCAGTGTTTTGCCCCGGGGCTCCACCATGGCTCTCGGCGGCCCTGAGCGGTATAAACAATGGTTTCAGCTACGTTGCCATGTTCAAACTTACTTAGGGAGTGAAGTAATGAAGTGGTTTTGAATCCAAAAACAATTGAACATTTAAACTTATCTTGCATCAATACTGCTAAACACTTACATTTTTCTAAATACTATTTAAATTTGTTAATGTAGTTAATGTTGAAGAGGTATAAGGTACTTATTTCAAAAACACAATTTTTGGATTATTATGTACCATTTTTTTATTTATATCATTCGACAACTTAAATAGATACAAAAATCTTTTGAACAATGGTCAACCGATTTTATGCAAGAAATTTATAAAATTTAAAATCTCTTACGTCAAGCCTTAAGTCTAACATTTAGGGTCTATTTATACTCCCTTATTATTAGTATTTGCATTAGTATTATGATTAAGCATTAAGTTGAACCTTCACAATGTAATGGGGACATTTATACTCGATTTATGATTAGTATTAGCATTAATATTTATGCTTAATAATTGACAGGTTCAACTTTTAAATTTAATATTAAATTTCTTCTTTTCTATAAAATGAATCAATGGAGTATTTGGCCTTTGTTTTTAATAGACAACGGATAAGGATAATTGACAACACACATATGATTATTTTGTTTATTTGTTTGTTCCAACAAGCTCGAAAACGATAATATTTCGGTACAAATCATGCTCTGTATACAATTTTTGTGTATCAGCAGTGTTTACCGATTATAAAGTTGACAAATGACATGTCACCATGAGGAAGCAAAGGCCTCTTTTCTGTCTGATTTGTATCAAATTTCTGCTTCTTTTATCTGTTATAAATTTGAGACTTAAATCCGTTAAAATGTCCTTAATTAAACCTATTTTTGAATAATAATATTTTTAGATAAAATTAACTAGTAAAAATATTAATAAAAACACATTTAAAACTAAAATATCTTAAAAAGAACACAATCGGCCTCTTACACATTTCTTCAGTAACCATATATTTTGTTGACTGCAGAATTATATCTTATTAGGTATTATGTTTAAAAAAGAATTACTAATACTAATTATAAAACGAGTATAAATACCTTTTTTGAATGATTTAACAAATTTAATGCTTAATCATAATACTAATACAAATACTAATACTAAGGGAATATAAATAGACCCTAAGTTATTAAAAAATGTAAAAACAAAATGAAATATATAAAAATGGTTTATTTTAATTAATGAATGCTTGGAAAAATATTGGTAAATCTTGATTAAATAGATTATTCAAAAGCCATATATATCACTGCTTCATATCATTGAAGAATAAGTTAAACCTTGAATCATTTGACACCAATAATTTATTTATGGGGTATTGTTTTATATTATTTACGAAGATGCCTCAAAAATATCACCATTATCTTGCCCCTTTAAATCGGAGAGTTAACGTTGTTGCCAAATTGATCCATATATAATTGTATTTTATGATGAATATTGCTTTTGATATATTAGAAAAGCTCCTAAATAATTTAAAAAAGGAACATCCTATAATTGAACAGGGATTAAAAACCATAAAAATTTAATAAAATATTCACAAGAAAGTTGGAACTATATTATATAATTTTATTTTGATATATTCATTTTCCTTCAATGTTTTGTTCAACATATAGAAGAACACGGCTTTCGTTAGAAATATCCTCGTCATTATTTCAAATTATTAAAACGTCCTTAGCCTATATGAATTAAAAATTACGAGATATTTTACGCTATGTATCTGCTTACTAGATGTTTGTGAGATTATAGTTGTATCTATAGGACTATGGCGTACAAAATTTTTATAAACGCATCACATTCCCATTTTTTAAATCCTCATTTTTCCATGTTATTAAATAAAGTAAGTCGTGCACTAAAAAAACAAAATCAAAGAAACTCAATCAATAATACTAGTTGATACACGTAGAGCATAACAGCATTAGAATGAACTGAGTTTAATTTTTTTAGTTTAATATTTATTTCATCTTTTTATTTTACATTTTTCTAGGACATTTTATTTTCCTAATACCCGGCTATAGGAGTTCTCCTCTTCCAGGTGGTATGCCCTGATTACAATAGTAACCTATAAGTGTTGGCGCGTAGGACCTGTGTGGCAGATTTTATTCGCAAATATGATTTAGGGAAACCACTGAAACCTAAACATACAACACACTACTTAAATACTCAGTGGGCTACAAATAAACGCTTCTAAAGAGATGGCTTCTTAACTATCTACATTTACGAATCACCGACGCGTGCATATCTTGCATCGTGCTCCTGGCACATTCGCTTCTGACTGTTGTCATCTATGACGATTGACGACACTGTACTCTTTACTATTGAAACAATTCAAATACATCTAATATTATGAATGTCATAATTATTCATCTTCGATTTTGATTGCATCCTGGTTGTCCTGCTCTAGACAGACAAATATAGTTGTAATATATTATATTGAAAATTATTGACACTAATTTGACAGCATAAAAAATTGAATTAATCACTTCTTATTTTTATTACAAAACAGAAATTAATGTAAATTAGTTGTATTTATCTTTTTCGCTGGATAATTGGTGCGACGTTTTCAGATGTTAAGAAATATATACATGGTGTTTCAGAATAAAGAACCGTAAACTGAGGGACTTTTAGATCATAACTAAATATTAAGAACCGCTAAATATAATTTTCCTATAAACGTCCCAGTTTTCGTTCTATTCGCTCCGTGCGTGACAGCAGCGCCAATTCGTTTTGGTACTAATGGACTATTTCTGAGTGTACTGACAAATACAATTTTTAATAGAATTCGTAACACGTAGAATTAATGATTAAAACTGGTTTTCCATCAGTAAGTCACAAAATTGCATTCCAGTCACAAATAATAATCAAAGGCAGAAATCTTGAAATCTAGTCCTTGCTGAATGAACATTTAAGAATAAAGGGATATTAAAGAACATCGTAAAATGATAATTTATTGTTTATTTAAAACCTTTCAAATTTCCGATGTCTACTATTTTCAGCATTACTGTTATTATTACAAAAATAAAGGTAATTTTTTCTTCTTATTGTACACCTATCCCATTTATTTCTTTGATTTAATTTCCACTTTGCTACTGAAATTTCACTGTTTTTCAACACAGCAACTACGGTTGCTTATTGTATTATTTTTACCTACTTTTTTGAAAAAAAGTAAAGTGTATACGTGTATTTGATATGCCAAAATTACAAAATATCGCCCTAAAATGCACGAATTATCCGCAGCTAGCGCTAGTATCGCTTTTGCTTCCCTTTCCATGACTTCGCACGGAGCGAATAGGGGGATAGGTGAATTTCATAAATTCATAATTTTCTAAATATCTTCCCTTACGGTAAAAATGTTAAGTTAAAAATATGCATGTGTTAGTTATTCGTCATTATTAGTTAACACACTCTATTTCTCATTATCACAGACTCAACGATAATAAAACAATTTTAATCAAAACTTTTTGAAAACCCTATATTATATTTTAAGATTAATAATTATTACTTGCGTAATTTGTCACAAAAAGGGACTTTTGATTGATCTCTGTAGAATATCCCATTTCCGAGATTTTTCAGTTTTAGTCTACTCAAACATGGAATTTATGTTCATTATGAAATTCCAAAAATGCAAATTTTTATTAAGGGCCGATTTCATAATCAATAATGGTCCTTTTAATATGTATTATGAAATCGTCCCTTGACAAAATTGTACATATATTTCATGTTTGAATAGGACTGCTCTAAAAAGTTCAACCAAGAGTCCCTTTTTTGTGATAAATTGGGTGAGAAATAATTATTAATCTGAACTTTTATGAAATATAGGGTATTCAAAAAGTTTGGATTTAAATTGTTTTCTTAACCCTTGATTCTACGCCAATGAGTTATAATTTATTTAAATAATATATATAATATAATCGTCATCATCAGTTAACAAACATATTTTTAAGTCAAAATTTTTACCGTAAGGAAAGATATTTAGAAAATTAGCTATTTATGAAATTCACTTTATCACCCTGTTGAATGAAAACTGGGACATTTACAGGAAAATTATATTTAGCTTTTCTTAATAATTATTTTAGATCTAAAAGTCCCCCAGTTTACGGTACTTTATTCTGAAATACCCTGTATATTTTTGGAAAAACGATTTACCAATTTTTTTTTTGTTATAAATAATATTATACACTTATGCCTTTAAGTAACGCATTATTTTCGCGGACACCCCCTTTAGTCTGAAGTTAAACCACTAATAACTTAACTAACTCAATTAGGGCCGATTCCTCTGTTGTGTTAAACGAAGTTTAAATTATTAAACGAAGACTAAAATGACATTTTTACATTTACAATGTCATTTCAATCTTCGTTTAGTAATTTAAACTTCGTTTGACACAACGGTGGAATCGACCCATAAGCAATAAAAATACATCTAAGAATTAAAAAAAAATGATACGCGATTAACAGTCAACTCAATAATTCTTACGAATGTGAATGTAACTTCAAATTTAAAAAACGATCAATGTCTTATATTAAGTTTTTTTATGAAATTTACATTTGATGTGATATTATTGAAAACCGTGGTTTATAAAAAATGGATTTCTAAGATATGTAATTAGTTTTAATTGTAAATCGTAGTTATAACATAATAAACTATAGTTGCCTTAAATAAGACATTTTGATTATTATATGTTGTATTTCGTCGTGTAAATGTACATGCATGTTTCGCCTTTGTAACAATACCCTATTAATCCTTCCTCTTCGCGCTATATCTTAACCTTTTGATGTGGACTTTGGCATGGTTAGAGAGAAAATTTAAATTCTGAGAAGACATGACTGATGTATTTTCAGATGATTATCAAGCTCCTATATCACCAGCATCGAGGGTAATGGCCTTGAATATCGTTAGCGATCTTATTAGGAAAATTGGAGTAAGTAAATTTGTAATGAATTTTAATTTTTAGTTGGTGTGCATTAAAAGATTGTGAAAAATTTAAAAATAACAGTTTATGTACCCCTCTTGCTTTCATCTTTTTTCATTATTACTGAATATATACGTAGGGATCTAAAAAAAGTTTGAGATTTCGATATAATTATTTAATATTTTCAAAATAAGCTCCAGCTTAATACTTTTATGCGTTTTTTCAAACCACAAATCAATTAAACATGCTGCAATTAACTTCTAAGTATCCATTCGTGAGTTTGAAGATTGGACAAGCTATAATAGACAATTTTGAATATACCACATTTACTTTTCGTTGTTCTTGGAGCACAATTGTTTTGACCAAACCACTTGGTCCATCATTCCCAAACATTAAGTTCTTGGCATTGCTCCAGAGTCAGATTACATTTGAAATTGTAACAAATTTAAACAAGGAAATCTCGTTTTGTGTTATATTAATCATTCAAATCTGGTTGATAACCATAAGGCTGCTATTAGACTAGACCACTGGTGGCGCAGTTAGTGTAGCCACCGAATTTAAGCCCAAATTAATTAACGGCCACTGGTATCACCACCTTAAGCATCTTAATGGATATTGGCTACCGGTTCTGCCCTTCGCCAATAGTGGAGGACTCCAGACCCTGTAGTGCAAGTTTTGGTTACTCACTAAAACCACGCCTCACCACAAGCACACCGGCATCGTCTTTCAACATTCTGTCAGGATGCAGGGATGATCAATTACTATTCTTGTCATTCATTTTTTTCCTTAGCAGATATTATTTTTCTGGCCAGTTTACTTACCGCACGCATCGTTATCACTCGTAATGATCCCAATATTAATGGCCCTTCCTATTTGGGCACTGATATGCTTCCCATTTTTTGCAGTATAGGCAATCCTTGTTCTGTGTTTTCCCAATTATTTTTGTATAGGTCTTGAAAAAACCATGACTCGTTATAACTTGAGAAAATGGTTCGTCTCTCTTAGTGTGGACATTTTTACTACATCTGAATGCCTGGTATATGCCGTTTCTTCCATTGGCCTTTTTTCTTGTTATCTTCCCATTCTAACTGACCCTTCTCGAGGCTTTTCTTCATTTCTGATCGTGGCTAGGTCTCCATTTCTCCTATCGTACAGTCGTCTCCTTTCGTCGGCCTGTGTGTTTCTCACCTTTCATTGGACTCAGTTGCTTATATCTCGTTACCTGCAGAGACTAACCCATATTGGTGACCTGTACAGAATGTACTACATTACTCAGCATACCACCGTAAGCATCTAGTTGTCACTACGTTGTATTTATTAGACTGATATGCCAAATTTACCCATTTACTGAAATAAATGTTCAGTTCGCATTATGAACGAAGTCAAATAATCGGTTGTGGAAAATTTTGGAATCTGTTTAAGTTGATTTATACATTTGGCGAACTTCATCTTGTTTTTTACTTTTGAAATTTTTATATTCCAGATTTTTATCTCGCTATTATCTCCTTTCATGTTATGAGATGAAAATTATCATAAATCTTTTAACAATTCACTCATGTGGTAGCAACCATGAAAGTACTTGTATGAGTTGTTAATGAACATGCAACGCTGGTGACGCAAGTGGTGACTTATAGCGTGCAACACGTGACCGCTCGTTTACCGGTTACTCTATAGTCGCTCTTTGTCCGATTGCGAGAAACAACCGAACACGATTAGATATAGCAATTGTCAATAAACTTCGTAAATAGTAGGAGGTCATAAAAATACTTTCCACATCTGATCAACAGAAAAATAATTGATAATATCTACAAGACAACGTAATTTTACAATTTCTTTAGGAATATATTGTGCTATTAGTGTAATTTCATCATCACATGATTCTAAAGATGAGAGCAATTCCAAAATGGCCAATGATTGTCTTTTCATAGTTCTACGAGCCACAATATAATATACTGATATTATGATAACAAACAAAAACATATCTTAATCCAGCCAGCAGATAGTAGATATTTTTCTATTAGAATGTTTCAATTTGCTCAACGTCGATCTGTCTCAAGAATTAAAGCAGCGGAGAGCAATTATTATAGAGTGACTTTTACCGGCGCGTCAAGTTCAACCGAAAACGCTATTAGTCTAATACTCGACGTGCAAAATAACGTTAACCTTACTACTGCTGGCGGCACCAGATGAAGATCCGGATGGCCGTCCACCAGCTCGGCAACAATTTTTGGTTTCATTTACTTAAATGTCCCAAGATGTGCCGAGTCATGGGTGGATTAACATGGTTAACGTCACCAGTGGGATAGTCTAATAGCGGCCCAAAATATTCCTTATGACAGCAAAAGAATTATTATAAATTCCAGAATCTCAAATTTTTTATGAACCTGCGTATTTATATGATTTTGTCTAGTGTTTTGAGATTAAGACGGGTTGTATAAAGACCGGCAAAGGCATAACTGGGACTGGTTAGTACAACATCTGGTTAGTTTACCAATTAATAAAGTGATTTCTATACAATCCGCCCTCAACTCTAAATGAATACACTCGCCTTGTCACTCTTTTTTTTTCTTCACTATTGCCTGAAGTATATTTATTTCGAGTTTTTAAAAAAATAGTTAATTTTTTCCGTCGACCGTATTTGCAGAGTGGTTATAATGTATAGAAAACCGTTTATTATCGATCCGCTGTTTATGCATTATTTTTTAATTAATAAATGATTTAGTATATTCAAAGAATGCTTATCCAAGAAGCGAATCTAAAGGGCAATTCGTTGACAAAATTTCTATGCGCATGTCCGAACCCGACATTTGATTTACGAGTATTTATTATGTGTAACTGCGAAAAGACAGGCACTTTTGGACAACCACAGTTTGCTCCAAAAATCTATAGAACGTACTCTATCAAGCACTTTTTCAAATCTGTACAAGAGACATAAGTGACAGAGTGGGTGCTGTGCATTAACATGGGTCAAATACAATAAGCCATTAGGCTGCGGTGTTATAGGAGACTACGTCAGACAAGTCCAGAAAAAAATATTTAAAAATAAAAAGTATATGTCGGAACCAGATTATAAAAGAACCTTTTATTTCCTAAAAAATGGCTCTTAACATACATAAATGTGACCCTTTTCTGAAGACACTACTGTATTAAGACATTCATTACTTATTTCATAGCATTTGAAACTTATGGAAAACTGAAAGTTACAGTACTTATTTCGTTATGAAAATCATCAATTTTCACAGTGCATATTTGGTAAACCATTTACGTCACAGTCACTGAAATGTTGGTACACATACAAAAACTCATTGAAATTCTCTTGGTTGGTATTCTTTGGTATATCTAAAAAATAAAAATTAAATATTAGTCATTAAGTTCTAGGACTGTGACTTACTTTAATTGTTCATCTCATTCACATATTTGAGAGAATATAGAATGCCCAGTCTTTAATAAAATGGCTACAGTGATTATTTAACTTAACCAACTCAATAATGTAAAAATATACATTTTCACATCAAGTTAATACTAGAATGTTACGAAGCTTTGGCCGAAGTATCCATCAACAATGTGGTCACCTTAAGATGGAACAAAGGTCACGCAACATCGAAAGGTCTTGCTGGACCTTCTTCGGACTGACACCATTAGTAGTGACAAACCTAATTAAAGAAGAAGCTGCAGACTTGCCAGTGAACTTTAAGTTATCCTGACAACACTACATCCAAATACTTGACTATGACTAGACAGAATCTGCGCCTGATCACAGGCATTCTGACTGGTCATTTCCAAGCACGGAAGCATATCCATATCATGAGGCTGTCAGAATCCGAACTGCAGGGGTTGCGAACAAGAAGATGATACCATCGAGCATATCCTCTACGATTGCCCGACGCTCTCATTTATTAAAAGAGTTGTGTGCGGCTAGAATTGGCTAACACCGGCTGATATAAGAGAAGGGCCTCTTGGCGACATTGTCAACTACATTAAATCTGTAGGCTGGCTCTCGAGCCCTCCACACGTTACAGATACAGATTAACTTATAACTCTATAATGTAAATATATAAATTTTCACATCAAATATTCTGCAGGGTTCCCGCCTAGGACTACTAGAATTTATCTTGTATATCATAACAGGCAAACATATTTACATAAGAGAATTTAATAAGAATACGATCGACGGAAAATGTTTTATGTAACTCACTCTTGGATAAAAACCTTAGCAATTAACAATATATTTTTGTTTTGTTCGTTGAAGTTTGAAATAAATAGTAAAAAAATAAATTTTTCAAATTTTCCTTTTGAGAGAAGATTGAGGCGAGGGGAAATGGTCTATTGAGATTACAATTACTTTTACATTATTTTAAGGGTTAATATAAATAAAAATAATGATAATTTCTGTATTGAACTTTTTTAGATATATTTAATTCTTTAAAAAACTCACAATCTTTTAGTTTTTAATGTTATCACATAAACGTTTTTTTGCACTTTTTTTTGGTTGTACAGGTCAACTATGAAATTAAATTTTTAGATCTGCTTTCAGTGGGATTTGCACATTTTGATTAAATTATCAATCGGCTTTTTTTTAATCTACCTACTCTTCGGAATTCCATTTTTGAATTAAAAACTATAATTTACAAAAAAAAATAGTTAAACACTTTATAGTAGTTTTTCAATAAAAAAATTAATAAAAAAAACTAGATGCCTGCCCATCGCTTTATTATTTTTTGATCAAAATTTGTAAAAACACTAATAAGTTATTTTTTTCCAAGTATTATGAAAGGGAATTTAAATTTATAAAAAATATTAATTACAATCTACCAGTTTTTTAAATGGCACAATAATGTATCTTATTGATATAAAAATATATTATTGTAGAAAAACATACTAGGGATGTGCACGAGCTTGTAAAGTTCGAGCGCTCGCGATCAAGCTCGAAAAATTGCAGCTCGAGCACGCTACAACGCAGCTCCGAACAATACGAGCGCATCGCGTACCGGTACGGCTCGAGCGGCTTTAGCGGCTCGAGTCTCTTATGATCCGAGCGTTCCGTACTTCTGAATGAATCATTCAACATTAAATTTAGTGGTGCAAAGTGATTAATGTGTTTCGGTCCCCGTAATATAAGTGTGATAAGAATAAGTTTTTGACTTCATTTACGTTTACAGTAAGTATATAGGATTTTTTTCATTCGAATAAATGAAAATTATTTGATATTTCGAATAAGTAATCAGTCATAAACTCGGTCCATCTAAGCAATGGAGTGCTCGAAAACATTATCACACCTTGTACACGTGATCTCTCTGACGAGGCTGCTTTTACAGAGTCACACTAAGGGACGATCGAGGTTTTATTAATTTTATTAAATACTATGCAACTAGGTATGGAAAAATTACTCGATGATAAGTTCATTACCGAGAGTTCGAATGATTAGGAGTACGGAACACTCGGATCGTTCGAGGCTCGAGCCGATACGCGAGGCGCTCAAGCCGAATATTATACAGGAGCCGCTCGTGCATCGGTCTGGTCGTACTGTTCGGAGCTCCGCTCGAGCAATACAAGCAAGAACCGAGCCTGCTCGATCAAGCTCGTGCACATTCCTAAAAATTACTAAATAAACACACTAAATTTGTTAGTTGTATAAATAAATGTATTTTACATTGGTGTCTCATAGTATGTTAAATTTCTGTAGCAGCTTTGTTATTATTAAAAATGTTAAATACAAAAATTATATTTGCTGATTAAACGTTAAGCTTATTTTGAAGTAGACGTATATTATTACATTTTTGTATTGTCTTTGGGGTCATACCTTTAAACTACTTTTTACGACCTGCAAAAAATATTTAATAAAAACTGTCAAATTCAATGACAAAATAGTTTTGTTTTGTTAAAAGTCAACTGTCAGTGGAACAAAAATTACATCACACTAATATTATACAGTAAAATGTAAAAATATACCGACTGTCTTATTTATTCGCCTGCTCTGATAATAAAAGATATTCAGAACTTTGGCAAACTGATTATTCAAGCTATATATTGTTCATTAAAATAATTTGTTTAAATTATGTTTAAGATTTCTTAAATAACATAGATAAATTATTAGACAAAAGTTAATTTGGGGTTTATGATGTAATTTTTTCTGATTATTTTTTTAAGTAGCTATTACTTCGGTAGATTAATCATCTTAGTTGCTGTAATTTAGTTTTGCATGTATGTTTTTTTGCATGTTTATATTGCTTTTAGTTGACGAAATGGTTGTGTTCAGAGTGTGGTCAGGTTAAGTGTACTTCATGTCCACCAGACAAACGAAAAAGCCTTGTGGAACTGCCAAGGTGCGTTAAAAAATTGATAACATAAAATTTACAAATAACTAATTGATTTCCCCCGAGCTTGAGATTAATACTATTTACTGATGTTAAATTTACTGTAAATATGCTTTTTAAAATATTTTCAATTTTTTAATATTAATTACAATTTTACTCAAAAATGATATAATAGATAACACTTTCTCTAAAAAATTAATTAAATTCCATTTCTAACTCTTAAACTATCATTAAATGTAAATTGGAAACTATTACTGTTAAAACTGCGTTATCAGTGTCAACTTTTAGATTTGCATTATCCAGTTTTAAAATATAATATAACTGAAAAATTTAACAGAAAAGCTTAACCTCACAACAAAATAATCATGTTTTCATCAGCTGCAATTACAGAAATCGAAAACCCGGAATCATAGAATACTCACAATTTGAAAAGTGAAGGTGTAACAGGTGGTACAATTGTCATGCCGGTACTAGCGCCAATGACAGTTGGGGCCGACGGCTTTACTAGACCGTTGAAGCTAGGTGGGTTGCCGATCTACTTATACCACTAAAGTTTGGCTCTGGATTTGAAACTGCGAATTGTTGAGGAATTAGTAATTTAATTTAAGTCATACCTATTCTGCAAAATTTCTGCTTTCAGGGATTCACTTGAAACATAGTATAAGAAGAGTATTATTAACCCAATAATTTAAAACTAGAGTGCGAGACACACTGAGAATGCAATGTGAAAACAGGTCCGGTCTTAGGCAAATTTCGACACGGGTTTAAATTTTATCTCAAAATTTGTATGTTCAATAATAAATAATAAACCAATTTTACGCAATATATAAATCATTGTAAGTTATCGTCGAAGTCTGAAATTTCTTGGAGATTATCAGGGACCCACATTTCTTGTTCCGTTTTTTCTCTGATATGTGAAACGCAATTTCGCCAATTTTGTTCAGTGACATGTTCAAATGCTTCATCTATCAGTGAACGAACTTCATGTGTCAAAGTTGTTCATAGCAATATAGCGTTTTATCTGATTCCATACCATCTCGATCGGGTTGAGCTACCCTGTATTTTGCAACTATGTTTGTTGGTAACTTTAAGCAGCTCAGATTTGAAATAGGAGTCGGCAAAGAAAATGTTTTTTCAAATGGTCAATTTTTTTATTTCGGGTTTGTTCCATGAGGTAGCTGTAAAACTAAACTTCGGGAAGCGTTATCCATAACAACGTTGTTTCGCTCATTTTTGGGTAAGTTAGGAAACAGCGACTCCTCAAACCATTGTTCAAAATAGTCGGCGTTGGTTGCGTCATGATAATCGCCATCTTTTTCTTTGCCAATAAAACTTGCGCGGCGCCAGGTAAAAATCCACCTTTATATCCTGCATGAACAATAACGAAACGTGGATCTCTTTGTGTAGGTGCTTTGAGGCTTGTGGTTAAACCATTTAAAAAAGCATCTCTACGATTTTTTATGGTGCATAGTTAACCGTTTGACTCGTCTAAATAGATATAACTTTACAATTTTGTTGGCGATATTGTTTGATGGCTCAAATACCTGTGCCGCCGATGAATGATGTTGTTTCGTTCTAACCCAATTTTTACGACCGCGCTTCACATATTCAAAACCAATATCTGTCATCAATCTACATAGGGTTCTTAAAGAAAACGATGGTGAATTCTCATTCCCTCGAATAATATAAATTGCATTCAAAGTTGGCAGAATCTTAAAAAAAAAAGGATTGTGCACAATTCCTCTCAATAAGGCTCTTAAAACCCTTATCATATGTATACTCGCGAGAATTTGACTGCCTTATCCGATTTTATCTTCTTGCAGAAGATTTCAATTGTTTGTTACTCTTTTTTTTTTGATTGTATAAATTGTTTTTTCACTGAACTTACTCATTTCGGAAGCACGACTTACCGCTGCAGTCATACTTAATATATCGTCATTGGCTAAATAACAAATCATATTTAAAAATTTTCGCACTCGCATGTAGCAGTTGTCCGCGTTTGAATTTCTTAAATTCCCATGTTGCAGGTAGGAACTCACAACTGAACCAACCCCAAAAAAAAGTTATTGACAATTATAATAAATCAATGGGCTTTAAATATGAGTAAAAAATATGAATTCTTAGACTAGCGTCACATTAGGCAGAAGTTCAGCCACCGAAAATAATTCCCAGATCTTTGCGTAATAAATTCAAACGCTATACGTTCTGCTGCTGAAGATCGGCGGCCGAACGTCTGCATAATGTGGCACTAGCCTTAGAAATTTAAAAAATAAGATATTTCACTTGGATTTTTTGGTTTTTGTGAGTCGGCTCCTTTCTGTAAAATACATTTTAGCACTGTGTGGTTAAAGATACTTTATTGTTAAAGAAAATAGGTAAAACATTCATATTGTCTTTAATTTATTCTACCATCATAGGTTCCAGTTCAAAATCAGGCGCTTCGCTGAATCCATCGACATTGTCGTCGATGTCCATGCCGGTATATGTTCATAAAATTGCATGCAAGTGCATCACAAATTTTTTGTCCTCTATCTTTGGATGTTATACTGTTTTCCTTCAAGCCACAGTGGTATTAGGAAGTCTTTAAATAATGCGGCGTCCGGATCTATTTATTTTTCTGATTTCTATTTCAGCATACGTGTCTTCAAAATTTGTTTTTCAGACAAATTGAATATGGTTTTTTATGAAGAAGTATCTGACGTGTTTTTAAACAGCTAATTTTTTTATTCTCAACATCAATTTTTCTATTTATAGCTTAATACACGATTTACCTGAGCAAAGCTTGGGATTTCCTTCTCCTATCCAATAGCTTTTGTCGTCAGAAGAATTCTTTGTGATGTGCTAATATTATCATTCATATTGCATAACAAAAATATTTGTTTTTCAATTTTTAATACTTCACACATACTCTCACAGATAATCAAATAAGGAACTGTCACCAATTCTCTTTTCTATTGTGCAAAAAGCAACCAAGCCGCTTGGATTGCTTTTGCAGGCAGGTTACTTGCTTAACCAATTTAGTCGGTTGGTTCATTGGTTAACAAGTAATGCTAGGTACCAGAATGAGGCCTGGATATTTTTTTGCAGTAAAGGTTGCGGTTCTTAATGCAATATTATGCGAAAGTCTAAAAATCACAAATTTGTGGTTTGCTTCCTTTCTGCAGAAACCTTCCAATTAGACATCAAGAAGGACAAACGGTCCTCATATACGCAACCAAGAATACATGCTATAATAACACTGACTACTACTGAGCCGATCCTGTTACAGCTATCGGGAAGACGACAACACAGTGTGTCGGTCTCCCATTAGAAATACATTGCCTATGCCTGGCTATTCTGCATTCTTAGTGTGTCCCGAACTATAATTGCAGAAATGCCAAAAAATCTGTGTACTAATTCCTTTTCTCTTTATCAACTGAACTGTGTTATGATACAAAAAGTGTGAGTATTTTATGGTTCTGAATTCTTAATTTTTTAAAATGCAGCTCGACTTTTGAAACAACTCTAATGTTTAAAAAATGTTTTCCAGGGTTTAGAACGTAGATTAGAAAAATCCAAATACGATTACAGAGACATTTCAACAAATGACATACGGTGAGTTTTGAACAAATGAAGAACTTTGATATTTTCTTTAATTATTGTTTTTTAGTTTTTATATTTTTTTAGTTTATTAAAGTGTAAAATCGAGTATATATATTATTTTATTGAAAGTTATGAATATGCCTTCTTGATAAAGAATATAACTACCTACATTTGCTGTTTTATATATTTTAATAATTTCAACAGAAGGAGCAGGAGTTCAACAAAGAACAGCCCATCTCCAAGTTTACATGGTGTTACTAAATGAGGAGTACTAATTTTGTAAATTAAAATACTTATTTAAGATTATATTTGGAAAAATATGCCGTAGCAAACTGCATTAAAAATAAATTATTTTTACTACTGATTATTTAAAATATCAATTAAACACTAGTTATTAAACAAATATAATATTTTACCTACTTCAGATTTATATAATTAAAATTTTCAGTTTTTGGTATTTATCATAATAGTTATTTTTAATATCAATTGATGTGGAGAACTGGTGTTTTACTGAAAATGTGTTTAATACAATATTTACTTTCCGTCATTCAAAAGTTTTTTAGTTTTTCTTATATTATCCTTTAATAATATTTTTATAGTCGAGTGTCATAGTTTCATTCATTTTTAGTAGCCACTTATATATACATTCTTCTACAAGATTTGTAATTTTTATGTACCATTCAGTATTAAAAATGCTGTAAAGTCGAGTTAGACTTAACATGCAATTAAAAAATATAGTTCAATAATTTCGATATAAAGGGGAAAATCTAAATTTTAATAAAGCAATATACCACTATATAAGTTGTATCCCGAAATGATTGGCAGTGTCAGAAATGTGTAAATAATTCTGACAGAGTTGCCATATGTAATACAAGGGTGGGTCAAATATAAACCGGATTTTTTAAAATTAATTTTTTAATCCAAAATAAAAATACAAAACAATCCTAAAATTTTTCTACATTTTTCTCCTTAAAGAATTACATATTTTTTCAACTGCTAAAAAGCTTTTGATTCCTTCCTCATAAAAAGTTTGGGGCTGTGTCACAATCCAGTTGCTACATCGTTGTCATTTTCAAAACGCTATCCACCCATTGCTTTTTTCAGTGGCCCAAACATATGATACATTTCCCAGTGGAATTCAGTCTATTTGTGTAGTCGAAAGGGTTGTATGAGGACGAGCATTATCGTGAGGCAAAATCACGTCAGTTTGGGGTGCTGAGTCTTTTGGATATACAGTATATGCAGCTTGCGCGGCGTCCAAAACTTGACGAGTAGTATGGAGCATTTACTGTATGACGTTCATGAAGAAATCAAGAGCAATATTCCTTTCCAGTTCCAATAACAGACAGATTCGTTTTGGCTATTACAGGGTAATGTTCCCCACTTCTTCACCACTCCATACTCATTCTTTTGGATTCGGGAATATAATAATGTGCTTACAATTCATCACAAGTAACTACACGATGTAAAAATTCGTCCTCCTCTCGTTCCAAAAGCCTCTGACGGATTTTCATTCGATGCAGCTTCTGATTATCTGTCAAAAGTCATGGGACCCATATTGAACATATTTTTCTAAATCCAAGGCGGTTTATGATAATGGAATGGGCACTCTCATGACTTATGTTTGTCACAGCAGCGATTTCATTCACCATCATGCGCCGATCGTTCTCAATACGTTCAGAACTCGCTCGAATATTTACATCTATTATGCTTGACCGTAGACGTCTATGGTAACATTCATTTTCAATGGCTACACGCCCTTCCTTAAATTTTCTGGACTACTCGTACACTTGAGTTTTTGATAACGTACTGTGCACGCAATCTACTTAAAATATCGGAGGATTTGACGCCCTCTTTCATGAGAAATTTAATTATAATACAATGTGCAACCGACAGTGATACTTATTGCTCCGACATGACCCTACTGCTCATCGCAACATGCATTCCCTCTTTACATTCCTTCCTTTAAACCTTAGATTAAAGAGACCAGAGATGTAACATACACTAGTGTTTGACCTGCGCGAATGTTGCCAAGTTATAAAGAAAGGTTAACAGTGGGAAAACTGGGAGGGGACTCGAACTCTATGGCAGGGATGGCTTTGTTTATTAACATAACGAACTATTAGATTTACTTAAAATATTATGAAATAAAATTAACGTGATTTTTTAATATCAAACATTATTTTATGTAAAAAGAAGACAAAAGTTCTTTTATATAATATTTCGTTAGCGATTATTTACTACGAACTTTTCTGCAAGAGACTACAATAAAATATTGAAATAGAATATTGTTAATCAAGCAAGGAATGGTACTCGGCTACGAGTATTATAATGGGAGCATGTGCGCAGGCGAATACTGTAAATCAAACCTTGTGAGCGGAACTTTATATTTTTTCTACGGCTATTACATATTAAAAATTAATCAAAATGAGGAAATGCTGTTTTGTATTGTAACCTGAGAAAAGGCTTCTTTCTAAATATAGAGAATGTGTCACATAAAACTCTAGGAATGCATATTTCTGAAATAACATTTTAAAATTTAAATAGGTTAAATTAGGATAAAAGTCATTCGATCGCTAGGAATGATCGAAATAAATTATCGATTATTTTGGAACAATCGATTATTTTCGAACAATCGATTATTTTCAATCAATTTTTTTTTCTTATTTCCTTTAAAATCTATCATTCGATTATCTTTGAAAAATCGTAAATAATCAAAAAATCGACCAATTAAAAATAATAAATTGATTTTTCTAAAAAAATAACCGAATTATCGATTATTTAAAATAGTTGATTACATAATATATTCGATCAATCGATTATTTTCATATCTATTTTTTTGTATTTCGTTTAAAATAAATTATTCGATTACCTTTGAAAATAAATAAATAAATAAAAAACCAATTAAATGATAAATCGAATTTTCTAAAACAAAGTAACCGAACTTTCGATTATTTAAAATAATCTTTTATTTTCAATTAATCTATTTTATTTTTGTATTTCCTTTAAAATCGATTATTCCATTAACTTTGAAAAACAAAAATAATTTATTGAAAATATTCGATAAATCATTTTCATAAAAAAAAACCGAATAATTGATTATTTTTGCCCCCTATCGGTCGCTTGCTTTTATCCGAGCGTCTCCAAAATGATTTAGAGATTCGGATTTTTTGATCTTGTTATCTTTAAAACCGCATTCCATTGTATATTAAATAATAAATATTGCAAGAATATAGATTTTTTAGTAACCAATTTTTTTTAACTTTGTTTTAAGACTTAAGGTATAAATGTCACTTCCCATTTGACCGCAAATAAGACGAATTTTGAAATTTTAATTAAGTCATCCTGTATTTTATCTAATATTCTTATAAAAATAAAATTTTGTTTGCAACTATCCTTTACTTCTTAGTTACATACCAAAAAGGGCTAAAAACTACTTTCAGTAAATATTCTTTTAAAACTACTTTTTAAAAACAAAATTTCGTTAGCAACAATGCCTATTTACATATGACTATATGAAATGTTCAAAATTTTGTCCTTTCGTAAATTTATGTAAGTACTATGAAATCTATTTTCTGAAGTATTTGATGCTTAATATTTAGAGAAATCCCTTAGCGGATCTGAACTATTCAGCCTCAAAACGTTAATAAATATTTAGCGTTGAAAACGAATAGAATTCTTTCACAGCATTTGCACTTATAAGTATATACAATATTTCTCGATACATCGTAGCATTTTCAACTTGAAATTCAATAAATAAAACACTAAGTTGCTAATAACACCAACAAATAATTCAAAAAACGGTGGTCCATGATGATTCAAGTCACGCGGGGACGAGCGTAGAATAGAAATGAAATTCTGGTGGCGTCGTGGAAACAATGATTTTTAATTGGTGGGTTACTTAAGGTTGAAATAGACAACATGCGCTGTGTGCTATGTTACATCTCGGGTCTATTTAATCCAACTTCATATTCTATGTATGACAGTTTATTTCAATCAGTAGTTTCCGAGAAAAAAAATTCTGTTTATATATGACTGATCCTCATATATACCCGCCAGTAGAAAGTGTTCGCTTATCTAACCTCCAAAGAACTCTCCAAACTTTGACACAATGACATCACTGTCTATTATTTCCGGATTCAACTATAAAGAAGTAAAATTTGACAAGTAAAAATATATTTGATCTTATTTTTCTTTTATTCATATCATTGCTATATTCTAAACTGTAACTTTAATGATACGCTGCTATAAGAAATTTCGTAGCAAACGAACTTTTTCATTTTACATTTTTTTAAACAAAGTTTCTTTGCATGTATAACTCGCAAATGGCAATAGACCTTGTCCATTTTTTTACCACTGTATGTCTCCCAAAATAAGTTTTTTCATTTAATTATCTTCAAATGTGTTTTGTTTTGGAATATAGCATTGTTTGGCAATGAAAATCAAGTCGTACTTATAAAAAAATAGTTCAATAAATGCTGGTGTCATATTGTTAATTTTGCACTTGTTATTTTACACCGCAAATATATTTATGATTGAGCAATACGGTTCATAAATTTGTATTCTCTTCCATGGCCAGCTATTTCTGTTTATTACATTTTTATTCCAATTTATAATAACACAAATTTTAGTCCTGTAGAAGAACTGGGCCTTCTAAATTACATAACATTCAAACAGGCCATTTTTCATTTTCATTACGAGTAAATACAAGATATCTTGGTAAAAAAAAAACAAGCAAGATAAAATATTGGTTACATCTCATCTTCATTAACTATTTAAATCTTACAGCTGCTTGTAGACACGTACATTAAAATTTATAATCTTGATAAACTTGACAGCTTGAGAATGTGTTTAGCAGTCTGTTAAATTTTCATTACATTCTTGCAACCGGCTGTAGTAAGACTGATTTGTTAGCTATATCCCACCAATTTTTGATATTTAAAGTTCAAGATTAAACCAACAATTTTATTTTCCTTTTTTACCAGGAGTTTATTTAACCCTTCTATTATTAGGTTAATTTTTCATTATACGTTACAAAACCATTTTTCAAAAATACAGGGTGTTTGGTAAACGTGCGGCAAAAATGCAAGCGGTTATTCCTTGGACTATTCTAAGCATATTTTATTATTTGTTGATTGGTCGAAGGAGTTCAGCAGTCATTGATGAGAAGGTTGAATCTTGTATCCAAGCTAGAGGAAGTAATTTTGAACATTTATTGTAGATTAAGTAAGTTTACTTGTACATTTTGATAATAAAATGTTGTTT